GGTGTGAGTTGGAGGTCGCATCTGTGAGCCCGCATGTGCGAAACTTAGGGCGCAGATGCGAAAAAGGGAAATGCTGGGCAGGCTTCGCAGAAGCGGAGGAAACGCGCAGGTGCGCCTTCGCAGGTGTGACGGGTTTGCCGCAGATGCGGAGTCTGGGAGCGTAAGTGAGTTGTGCAGGTGCGGCTCCTTGGACTACAGGTGCGGTCGCGCGGGTGCGAGTAAATGGCCGCAGGTGCGAGAAGCCTGGGCAGAGGGTACATATTGCACACTTCGCGAATTTGGGTGCATGCTTCACCATTTCTATTCGGTTTTGGAGCTTTTGGGAGAGATTTGAAGAGGGAATCAAGGGGGTTTCGTTGAGGTAAGTTACTTGAGCCCTAATACTTGTATATATGGTGATTTTCCATTGTTTAATCATTGTAATTAGTGAAAATGGGGGGTTAGGGCTTGAGATTTTTGGAGAAGTCATTTAAGGATTTGAAGAACCAAACGATGTCGGATTTTGATGAATTTGGTATGGTTAGACTCGTGAGTGAATGAGCTTTCTAGTTTTGTAAATTTTGTCGGATTTCGAGGCGTGGGCCCGAGGGCCAGGTTTGAGCCAATTTCGGGTTTTGGCCTAATTTTAAAGCTTTTCTTGTGGAATTCATTCCATTAGCGTATATTGATGGTATTGTACTGATTGTGAATATATTTGGAGCATTTGGAGGCCGAGTCCAGAGTCAAGAGCATTGCTGGGTAGAAATTTGACCGGTTTAAGGTAAGTAACGATTTAAAATCTAGTCCCGAGGGTATGAAACCTCAGATTTCATATCATTCTACTATTTTTAGTGATGCACATGCTAGGTGATGGGCATGTGGGCGTGCACTGTTGGGGATTGTGACTTGGTCCATCCCGTAGCAACTGTAAAGTTGCATACTTTGTTGAAACTATATGATACTTATATGTTTTAGAAAGAGTTTCTGTAAATTGGGCTGAATGCCATGTTTGAGCCTTGTGCGAGTACTGTTTGGACCCTTAGGGGCCTTTTCTTACTATCCTCTCACTGGTTTCGATTGAAAATCTATACTGAGTCATGGTTATACCTGTTTACTACATAACTTAGTTTTATTATTCGATTTTGATGCATATAAATGTTGTTTTGGGCTGAGCACCCTGTTTTTACTGAAATGCCCGAGTGGCTTGAGAGGTTTATGACTGAGTGAGGCCGATGGCCTGATTTGTGAGGATATTTATGGGATCGGGCTATATGCCGCAACATGATGTATATTTATGGGATCGGGCTGCACGCCGCAACATGATGTATATTTATGGGATCAGGCTGCACGCCGCAGCATGTTGCATATTTATGGGATCGGGCTGTACGCCGCAACATGTTTGATATAGTCCGAGGGCATGAGTGATTTATGCCATGATTGGGCTTGATATAGTGCTTGGGCTGAAGGAGCCCCTCCGGAGTCTGTACACCCCCCCAATGATCACATGTACCTACTGAGTGTGAGTGCCGAGTACCGAGTGCTGAGTGACTGGGAGGCAAGAGTGATTGTGAGGTATGCCCGAGTGGCAAGAGTGACTGTGAGGTTTGCCCGCGGGGCTGTATATGAGTGATGTTTTGCCCGATGGACTGTTTATGATTTCATCATTTTTGCTCACCTTTGCATTTTTCCTCTGTTTGAAAGCTGTTGAAAAATATCCTTAAATGATTTTTTTTACTGGAACTGGGTTTAAACGAGATATTTTGATTCAAATCCTGATTTTAAAAGAATGAGGTATTTTACTGAGATTTCATGATATGAATGTCATATGCTTTATTGCTCGTCACTATTGATCAGTCTTTATTTATTGTTGTTACTTACGGAGTTGGCATACTCACGTTACTCCCTGCACCTTGTGTGCAGATCTAGGTGTAGCTGGACACAGTAGCGGTTGTTGATTGTTTTGGTTGCAGATTTTCTCGGAGATAGCAAGGTAGCTGTTTGGCGATCGCAACCCCTGCTCTTCTCCCTCTTATCTTCCTCTAGTTGTATTTAGCTATATTTTTCCAGGCTGAGTTATCCTTGACATTGTTAGACAGATTGTAGTAGATGCTCATGACTAGTGACACCCCGATGTCGGGCTTTTCCTTTCGCACTTTTATTTTGATTTGAACTCCTTTACGAAGGTTTTTATGTTAAATAACATTGAAATTATCTTTGAAATAAAAATATCGATTTTTTTGGAAATGAGTCGGCTTGCCTAGTTCCACGATAGGCGCCATCACGACAGGGGTTAGTTTGGGTCGTGCCAACCTAGCATGTGCGTCACCTCCCAACAATTCACAAAATACATATATTCAGGGTTCATACCCTCAACTCCAAGATTAGAAGAGTTACTTACCTCGAACAGGCCAAATCCAATGTCGAGCAAGCTAAGCAATGCTCCAGAAAGTTCATTCTGCGCGTAACAACTTTCAAACGGCTCGAATCTAGTCACAGTAATTTGATTCAGCCCACTAAAAATTATAAGAATTAATTCCATATCAAAATACTAATATTTTTCAAAAATCCAAAATTGCGCCCCAAAAAATCACCCGTGGGGCCCACGTCTCGAAATCCGACGAAACTCACAAAATATGACAACCCATCCAATTACAATTTCAACCATGCTAATTTCACTCAAATCCGACTCCAAATCGGTATTCAAACTTGAAATATTTGTTTTGTGACATTATAGAAATTTCCTTCTATTTCTCTTGATGATTCAATAATCTTACACATAAAATGAAGATTAATTCATGAAATATAATCACAAGGGAGTTAAGAACACTTACCCCAAGTTGTTTGGAAAATTTCCTCTCCAAAATCGCCCAACCCGAGCTCCAAAATCCGAAAATAGGTGAAAATGTTGAACCCTCGAATTTAAGGTTCTGCCCCACCGATTTCCGCATCTGCGGACAAGATTTGCGCACCTGCGCATCCGCTTGTGCGAGAAAAATATCGCATTTGCGGACTCCAATCGCCTGCCCAGTTTCCGCTGCTGCGCGCATCCGTCCGCATCTGCGCTCACGCAGGTGCGGAATTTTCCCTCGCACCTGCGACTAATGCCTCACAGCCCTCTGCCCGCATCTGCGCTCCTTCTCGCGTAGGTGTGATTCCGCACCTGCGAAGCATCTTCCACACCTGCGCACCTCGCTTCAGCGCACCCCTGCTAACAGTTGTGAGTTCGCACCTGCGACTACTTTTTTGCAGGTGCGATCACACTAGAAGGCTTCAGTTCCAGCAGTCTTCCAAATTCAAAAATCAATCCGTTAACCATCCGAAACTCACCCTCGGCCCTCGGGTCCCCGTCCAAACATACCAACAAGTTCCATAACATAACACGGACCTACTCGAGTCCTCAAATCATACCTAACAACCTCAAAAATACGAACTACACACAGATTCAAGCCTAATAAATTTCTAATTTTCCAAATTCTACAAACGACTCCGAAACCTATCAAATCACGTCCGATTGACCTCATATTTTACACACAAGTCACATTTTACATTACAAACCTATTCAAATTTCCAGAATCAGATTTCGACCTCAATATCAAAAAGTCAACCTCCCGGTCAAACTTTCCAAAAATTCAACATTCGGCAATTCGAGCCAAATTTAACTACGGACCTTCAAATAATTTTCTGGACACACTCTTAAGTCCAAAATTACCATACGGAGCTATTGAAATCATCAAAATTCGAATATGAGATCGTTTACATATAAGTCCGCATCCGGTCACTATTTTTACTTAAGCTTTAAACCTTAGAACTAAGTGTTTCAATTTCTTCAAAAACCTCACTTGACCCGAACCAATTACCCAGACAATTCACACAACAACTGTAAAGTATAATTTGAGAAGTAAAGGGGGAAACGGGGTTGTAATACTTAAAACGACTGGCCGGGTCGTTACATATAGCTGCTCTAAAAGATAATAACTAATAAAATATTGTTATAAATGAGATGAATGCATGTGAGTGAGAGGAATGCATTTGTCTGTCCATTTAACGTACTTTATATTCATGTACTCAATTAAGAAGTACATTAACTTATAACCTTTGAATGTATTTGTACCTTTATAAATAGGAAACTTTTGACCCTATGAATAACACACCAAGAAAAGAAATAACAAAATTATTCCCCCTCATATATATTTTGTCTTCATTAGTATATTGTTCTATTGTGCTCTCATTTCTTAACACGTTATCAGCACGAGGTTCTAACCAACTGAGGTTATCTGATTTATCCGAATTTTATCTTCTTCCTAAAAGAGGTAGTCAGTTTCTTTTCCGATTCAGGTACACATTCCTATGTTTATAACATTTCTATTAGGATCTTCTTTAACGTGCAATTGAATTACCATATGCATAACTTGTTTTGAATATGATTATAATAATTGCATTGGTATGAAAACAATAAGTTTTGGTTAAATTGTTATTTCATTATATAAACTACGAAGAAGTTTAATCCTACACATAAATAAATAAGTATTAAAATTGAATTACAATAATTAGACTAATTAAGCCCACATCCAAATATTCTAACAGAATGTGCATTTAGAAGGAATTCTTGCAAAATTTTCAAAATGTTTAAATGTGTCTTCAATAAATTTATCACCTAAGTGTACAAACTAATTAATAACTTTAAAATTAACGACTGAACTATTAGATGAATCGTATTGAATGTTGAAATTTGTCAGAATTGATATCATCTAGTTTTATACCTACTTAGCTTATTGAAACGTATTCTAAGTAGAACAAAATTATACTAGTACATATTAATTCAACTTATTTATTCTATGAAAATATACTTACATGTCTAAAATTTTAGTGCGTAATATTAAACATTAATTTATCATCGCACTGCACATAATTGTTTGTTTGCTAATTTTACATATAGAATATTAATACACGATTATGTACTGCAGTGAATTGATAATAATTCTTGTCATTCTAATTCACTTTTTTCTATGATAGTTTTCACTATGTCGAATTTGTCAAAGCTTGAATTTATGGCACTTGATATCTCTGGAAATAACTATTTTTCATGGGTACTTGATGCTGAAATTCACCTTGACGCTAAAGGTCTTGGTGACACTATTAAAGAAGGAACTGAAGCATCAAGTCAGGATAAGGCAAAAGCCATGATTTTCCTTCAAACTTCATCTCGATGAAGGGTTAAAAAGTGAATATTTAACCTTGAAAGATCCATGTCAATTATGGACTAGTTTGAAGGAATGATATGACCACCTAAAGGCCACGGTATTGCCAAGAGCTCATCGTGAGTGGATGCACTTACGGCTACAAGATTATAAGACCATAAGTGAATATAATTCTGCTGTATATAGAATAATTTCTCAACTAAAATTATGTGAGGAACCTATGAATGATGAAGACATACTGGAAAAGACTCTTTCCACTTTTCATGCCTCAAATATGGTGTTACAGCAGCAATACCGTAAAAAGGGCTTTAAGAAATATTCTGAGTTAATTTCATGCCTTTTGGTGGCTGAACAACATAATGCTCTTTCAATGAAAAATCATGATGCCCGCCCCACTGGATCAGCTCCATTTCCAGAAGCAAATCTGGGAACGATAGATCCAAAGTCTAAAAAAAGATAAAATAATTATCGTAGCCATATAAATATATGTGGGCGTGGCAAGGGGAGAAATAATAATCGCCATGGTGGTGGTCGTTATAAACAAGAGAACAATAAGGGTTCTCATAATAATCCTTCAAAAGGCAAAGGTAATATTTGCCACCGATGTGGTATGAAAAATCATTGGGCATGAATTTGTCGTACACCTGAATATTTTGTCAAACTTTATCAAACATCTATAAAAGGGAAACAAAATAAAGTTGAGACTTACTTGACTTTTCAAAATGATGTTGAGGCGGGTTCTATGAATAATCATGATAAATTTGAAGCAAACCTTGCCTATAAAGATGATATTTTTGAAGGCCTTACAGATATTACTCATTTAGAAGCTGGGGACTTCTTTGAGCATCATAACTGAAGACTTATTATTGGGAAAAATTATAAGAATAAATGTATTTCTTTTTATGAAGTTCATATTTTGAATAAAACTTTTTATGTTGTCAGTATTTAATTTCATAAATGTAGTTTCTTTTATTCTTAAATTTTTCAATATTACTTATGATGTATTTTTTTCTTCTTCTTGAAGAAAATGAAAACTTCCCCGCCTTCAGTTGTCCGTATGAATAATAAAGAAGAAATATTTCTTCTGGATAGTGCTACGACGCACACCATATTAAAAGATAAGAGATATTTCTCTTATTTAATTATGAAAGAAGCCAATATCATAACGATATATGGTAGTACAAAATTAATTGAGGGCTCTGGAAGAGCGACTGTATTACTACCAGGAGGAACTATATTGGCTGTTAATGATGCATTATATTGTAGTAGGTCTCAAAGAAACTTGTTGAGTTTCAAAGATATTCGCCAAAATGGCTATCATATTGAGACCATCAATGAAGGAAAGGTTGAATACTTTTATATTACTACAATAAAAGCAGAAAAGAAGTATGTGCTTGAAAAGCTTCCCGCATTTTCCTCTGGATTATATTACACTAATATTAGTGTAGTTGAATCACATGCCATAGTAAATAAGGAGTTTACTAATGATTTTATTATTTGGCATGACCAGTTGGGCTATCCTGGTTATAATATGATGCGCAAAATAATTGAGAATTCACATGGTCATTCATTGAAGAACCAGAAGATTCTTCAAACTAAAGAATTCTCTTGTGCTGCATGTTCTCAAGGAAAACTGATTATTAGACCATCAGTGATTAAAGTTGGAGTTGAATCTCCTGTATTTTTGGAATGTATACAGGGTGATATATGTGGGCCCATACACCCTCCATGTGGACCATTCAAATATTATATGGTTTTGATAGATGGATCTACAAGATGGTCACATGTGTGCTTGTTATCAACCCGTAATTTGGCCTTTGCGAGGTTACTAGCTCAATTAATAAGATTAAGAGCACAATTTCCAGATTATGCAATTAAGACACTTCGTCTTGATAATGTTGGTGAATTTACGTTCCAGGCCTTTAATGATTATTGCATATCAACTGGGATAACAATTGAGCGTCCAGTTGCTCATGTTCATACTCAAAATGATCTAGCGGAATCATTGATCAAACACCTCCAATTAATTGCTAGACCAATGCTTATGAGAACAAAACTTCCCATCTCGGCATGGGGCTATGCTATTTTGCATGCAACAGCTTTTGTGCGGATCAGACCCACGAGTTATCATAAAGTCTCCCCAATACAATTGGCTTTTGGTCAGGAGCCAAATATTTTCCATCTTAGAATATTTGGATGTACAGTATATGTTCCAATGGCTCCACCACAACACACAAAGATGGGACCCCAAAGAAGATTGGGGATATATGTTGGGTATGAATCTCCTTCTATTACAAAATATTCGGAACCTATAACTGGAGATTTATTTACGGCAAGATTTACTGATTGTCATTTTGATGAATCAGTATACCCGATATTAGGGGGAGGAAATAAGCAGCTGCAAAATGAGATAGATTGCAATTCATTATCACTATCTCATTTAGATCCTCGAACAAATCAATGTGAACACGAGATTCAAAAGATAATTTATTTGCAAAATATTGCAAATCAACTACCTGATGCATTCACTAACCTACCAAGGGTGACTAAGTCACATATTCCAGCTGCTAATGCTCCTATTCTAATTAATGTTCCGGTTGGACAATCTATTAATGCAAATGAGTCTAAGCCACGCTTGAAACATGGTAGACTAATTGGTTCCAAAGATAAAAATCCTTGAAAGCAAAAAGGAGCAAATGATCTAAGAGATCATAATATGGAGGTAATTGCTCAAAAAGAGCCCCATGACATAACAAATGATAAGACATCAAAGGAGGTCCAGGTACTTGAAAATAATAAGAATGACGAGATCTCAATAAGTTATGTCTCTACGGCAAAAAGGTGGAACCGAAATAATATTATTGTCGATAACATTTTTGCTTATAATGTTGCTGTTGAAATAATGCAACAAGATGAGGATCTTGAACCAAGATCTGTTGATGAATGTAGACAGAGAAATGATTGGCAAAAATGGAAAGACGCTATCCAGGCAGAATTAGCATCACTTGAAAAACGTGAAGTATTCAGATGTATAGTCCGAACACTTGAAGGAATAAAGCCAGTGGGATACAAATGAGTTTTTGTGCGAAAACGAAATGATAAAAATAAAATCGTTAGATATAAATCACGACTTGTGGCACAAGGATTTTCGTAAAGACCTGACATTGATTATATGGAGACATATTCTCCTGTGGTGGATGCAATCACTTTCATGTATCTTATAAATTTGGCAGTCAATGAAAAACTTGATATGTGTCTAATGGATGTTGTCACAGCCTATTTGTATGGCATATTAGACAACAAAATTTATATAAAAATCCCTGAAGGGCTCAAAGTTCCTGAAACTAATAAAACTTTTTGGGAAACTTGTTCAATAAGGCTTCAAAAATTCTTATATGGATTGAAACAATCAGGGCGAATGTGGTATAATCGCATGAGTTAGTATTTGCTGAAAGAAGAGTATAAGAATGATCCAATTTGTCCTTATGTGTTTATAAGAAGGTCTGGCTCTGAATTTGTTATAATCGTTGTGTACGTTGATGATATAAATATCATTGGAACTCCTGGGGAACTTCTAAAAGCAGTAGACTGTTTGAAGAAAGAGTTTGAAATGAAAGATCTTGGAAAGACAAAATTTTGTCTTGGTCTACAAATTGAGCATATGAAAGATGAAATTTTTGTCCATCAATCAACTTATACCGAAAAGATTCTAAAGCATTTTTATATGGATAAAGCACATCCATTGAGTACCCCGATGGTTGTGAGATCACTTGATATAAATAAAGATCCATTTCGACCTCATGAAAATGATGGAGAGCTTCTTGGTGATGAAACTCCATATCTTAGTGCATTTGGGGCACTAATGTATCTTTCAAATAATACTCGACCAGATATAACTTTAGTAGTAAATTTATTAGCAAGATTTAGTTCCTTTCCAACAACAAGACATTGAAATGGTGTTAAGCATATTTTTAGATACCTCCGAGGGACTATTGATATGGGATTATTTTATTCTTATGAATCCGATTCACAGTTGATTGGTTATGCAGATGCAGGTTATTTGTCTGACCCACATAAAGCCCGATCTCAAATAGTCTATCTATTTACTTGTGGGGGTACAACTATTTCATGGCATTCAACAAAACAAACTTTAGCTGCTACATCTTCCAATCATGCAGAGATAATAGCTATTCATGAAGCTAGTCGAGAATGTATATGGTTGACATCAGTGACTCAATATATTCAATAATTGTGTGGTCTTTTAAAAAAAATGAAGATTCCAACGATATTGTATGAAGACAATGCTGCTTGCATAGCTCAACTTAAATGAGGATGTATCAAAGGAGACAGAACAAAGCACATTTCACCAAAGTTCTTTTTCACACACGATCTTCAGCAAAATGGTGAGATAGATGTTCAACAAATCCGTTCAAGTGACAATCTAGCCAATTTATTCACTAAGGCATTGCCAACATCAACATTTGAGAAGCTGAGACATAAGATTGGAATGCGTCATCTCCGAGATATCAAATAAAGCTTTCATCAGGGGGAGTATAATACGCATTGTACTCTTTTTCCCTTAACCAAGGTTTTGTCCTAATTGGGTTTTCCTGGTAAGGATTTTAATGAGGCAGCACTCAATGCGTATTACAAGATATGTATACTCTTCTTCCTTCACTAGTCTTTTTCCCACTGGGTTTTCCTAGTAAGGTTTTAACGAGGCATATTATTTAATTTTATTTAAATATATTAATGTCACTATTTTACCCTATTATTATATATCATTGATGTTTGGCTTAAAGTATATATATATATATATATATATTTATATGTATATCGCCTCATGTTTTACTCGTGTTTCGTGGATTTCAGATGTAAAATGTATTGATTTATATTAATTCGGGGTGTTTTTATGTGTAGGAATCATCCAGAAGTAATTGGGGACGAAAGGTATGAGATTAGAGCCAAAACGGAGGAAAAATGGGCAATGTGGAATTTCAGCGCGACACGCAGCGCTCCACGCCACCTGTGGCGCCATTGGCAGAAACTGCAACAAGTCAGTGCCAAGGCCAGCGCCCCACGCTTCCCTGGATGCTAGTGACGGGAAAGTGATCCAAGTTTGCATGGGACAAGGTTATTTTTGCCCTACACGGTCCCAACTCGTATAAAAAGGGTTCTAAACCTAATTTGGAGGAGATCTAACACACTTTGAAGGAGAATTCACATGGGGGAACACACGCCACGCTTGGAGGACGCTTATAACTTGTTTTTCTTCTCTTCTCTTCTTTTAGTTTTATAGTTTATTTGTTCTAGAGTTTTGGGTGCTTCATGAACGTTGTAGTTTGAAGCTTGGATTGTTCTTATTATTTTATCATATTGGTTTATTTATTCAATCTTGCGCTTAATTATTTGATTGCTTGATCACCAATTGAATACTACCTACAAATCTAGGATTAAACT